GCCTATCCTGATAGATAGGATGAATGGTAGTCATTATTTTCCGGAACTTTGTCCAGATTGTCATGTGATAACTTGATTGTAGAAGTGTAAACATTACAGAGTGTTGTAAGGAACTACAAGCGTTTGTAAACAAAGTCGATAAATGATAAAATGGCTGGTTTCGAATATAGTGAGGCGAACATTTGTCCCCTCCCCCGATACTCATAAACAATCCCTTTAAAATACAGCAGCCATCTGATAATGTTAATAATTCAAGATTTATTTCTCGCAGTAGTACTGTCAGTGCCAGGCCCGTAGCCAGACTTTATAGTACAGAGGGGCAAGTAATATATCTAGGGAGACAGTGATGTATGGTGTTTAGCTGCAATAATGTTATCGGTCGGGTAGTGTGGGCCTGTTTAGTGTAGGTGGTAAACTGGGCAGCCCTGTCATGAGGATTGTTACTAATACGTGTATGCTTCGAAAAAGCCTTGTTAATCTTCGTGTATCATGATTGATTAAGATCAGTTCACAGAAGAAAAAACTGAAAGATTTATATCAAAATCGGTCGATTGTGATATATAATGAAAAAGATCAAAGGTTTTTTTTGACGATGCCTGAAAACTATTTGCCGCTGGAGAATTGGAACAGAATATTGTATCTCATTCGGCAATTCTCGACAGTTTCCGTAAGTAGGATCATGAAGTATTGATCTCAGGGTCATTACTTGTGATATTAAGTTTTAATTTTTAACTAGAATTATAAATGACCATAAATACATACCTTCAGATATTACCTGATAGATATTACCTGATAGATATTACCTGATAGACATTACCTTCAGATATTACCTGATAGATATTACCTGATAGATATTACCTGATACATAATACCTGATAGATATTACCTGATAGATATTACCTAATAGATATTACCTGATAGATATTACCTGATAGATATTACCTGATAGATAATACCTGATAGATATTACCTGATAGATATTAACTGATAGATATTACCTGATATTACCTGATAGATATTACCTGATAGATATCACCTGATACATAATACCTGATAGATATTACCTGATAGATATTACCTGATAGATATTACCTGATAGATAATACCTGATAGATATTACCTGATAGATATTACCTGATAGATATTACCTGATAGATATTACCTGATAGATAATACCTGATAGATATTACCTGATAGATATTACCTGATAGATATTACCTGATAGATATTACCTGATAGACATTACCTTCAGATATTACCTGATAGATATTACCTGATAGATAATACCTGATAGATATTACCTGATAGATATTACCTGATAGATAATACCTGATAGATATTACCTGATAGATATTACCTAATATATATTACCTTCAGATATTACCTGATAGATATTACCTGATAGATATTACCTGATAGATAATACCTGATAGATATTACCTGATAGATATTACCTAATATATATTACCTGATAGATATTACCTGATAGATATTACCTGATAGATAATACCTGATAGATATTACCTGATAGATATTACCTGATAGATATTACCTGATAGACATTACCTTCAGATATTACCTGATAGATATTACCTGATAGATATTACCTGATAGATAATACCTGATAGATATTACCTGATAGATATTACCTAATATATATTACCTGATAGATATTACCTGATAGATATTACCTGATAGATATTACCTTCAGATATTACCTGATAGATATTACCTGATAGATATTACCTGATAGATATTACCTGATAGACATTACCTGATAGATATTACCTGATAGATATTACCTGATAGATATTACCTGATAGACATTACCTGATAGATATTACCTGATAGATATTACCTGATAGACATTACCTGATAGATATTACCTGATAGATATTGCGATTATCATCTGAACTATGTCCACCATTTTGAATGCACTGCGGCAACCTCAATACGACTTGTTATAAAGGAACAATACGCAAAATGTCATCATTAGAAAAGTTTATTCTAAAATATGCAATCTACATCTTTGTATCGACTTAATCAAACTGAATTTGTTTGATTAAGTGCCATTTTTATGGACCAATAATACTTTAGTCACAGAAACGGAAATAGTGTTCAAAGCTCACCATCGACATTTGAGACTTCAAATACTTTTGTGTCCAGAATTATCCGCATTTGAATGTTAAAATGACGACTCGTCAATTTAAATTACTCTGTGATATATAGAAAAGACATCTATGGAAATATTGAGTAAAATTCCTAGTTTGAAGTATATTTAAAGAAATTATGCAATTTTCTTGTATTTCTAGTACTTCTCAAGACTATTTACAAATATTCAAAACTAAAAAAATGCCTAACCTGTCCCTTTAAAAGGCTTAAATAAAAAATTGAGAGTACTTATTGTTAAAGAAGCAGCTTCGTTTTTGGGGCCTGAAAATATTTTAGTTGAAACCTTCAGAAAACATAAGAGACATATTTTCCGTTTATTCTGCTTAAATCTTTACATCAATTTTCACAAACCAAAACTTAGCTAATTCAAAACGTCTTCGTAAATGAGAAATTAATTGCAAATATTTGTAGTTAAAACTTTCAGATATATTGGGGACACATTTCTCTATATTTTGGTCTATAGTTGTATATATAAGGTCAAGGTCATTGTTAACCTACTTTACAAATTCTTTTATAGCATGTCTCTGAGTCATACAAAACCAGAGGCAATAATACTATTTTATATTTTGATAATCCATTTTTTGACCAGGTATATAAACTGAAAAAAAATAGCTAGTGTCATTGGCTGATTGATAAGGTATTCTATTATATCTATAATCATTAGTTTAATAATGGCACTACGATTAGTTTTACTGGTAGCTTCAACTCTTTTAGTTTCATCACAATCCTTAACTTGGCGGAGGCCTCCAAGTTGGTTTCGTTCATCTGGTAAGTTCTTTCAAGTTTCAAGTATTTCAGAAATCTGTGAATATTGGGGATGTCATAAAATCTAACTCCGAGCCTCGGCGAACACTGTCGTCACATTTTACGTGTGTGCGTTTAACCGTCTGTACATAGTTAGCTTGCACTCATTTGATTGTGCTTCTCTTTGGAGGAGTCCACTACTATACAACTCTCGATTTTGCCAGACTTTGTACGAGATTTTGATTAACGGAATTGTCTTGCTTTTACGGACTTTATGTTTATCACGGCTTCAGTTTTGGATTATTCTTTTCATTTGTGACTTGCAGTTTGTATCGAGTTCTGATTTACATGACAATCGTGTGTCGGAGATTATTAGCAATCGACGCACGTTAAGGGAACCGCCACATCGGACTGCGACAATTTGACTTTTTACGTCGCCTGAAACCATGAAAAAAGCGAGAAATAGAAAAGCCCCCCTTACACGTATGCGACTGTGATGTTGCCTTTTTTACAGCATTTTTGCCATCGACTGCTCTTTTATCATGATCAAGGAAATATTACGACCTTCGAAATTCCATGACTTTCTGAACAGATCGCCGTGGCCGAGACTCTTTGAGAGCATGGCGATCAATGCACGTTTTGGAGTTTCCTACACACTAATACCACACTAATAGCGGCCTAAACACGCACTGAGCCAATTTTTATATGCGAGGATCAGTAGTTTAATTTCACACTAAAGATAAATCAAAATTGGTCTGAATTTTATTCATATATATACACATATTGACGATAATCTTATCGGAGGATATCAAATGATTTGAAAGCTGGAAATGCTTGGGAATTACTGCTCTATTTTCAAAGAAAACGAGAATCATTTGACAAAGTTAACATTTGTCAGCCACAGCTGTTTTAATTAGGATAACCTATAGATACACAAATTAGCTCCGTTAGAATCAATATCCAATAAAATCTATTTCTGATTTTGTTGATATCTATGGCAGCTGTTTTACACTTTTATTCCAGATCGAAAATAAATCTTACAGGGCCATTAACCTAGAACGGTTTAAATCCAGAAAGTGCCGGTCGATCGGCCGTATTATTCTAAAGTAGATAAAAACCTGAAAACACTGTCGACCACATCATTATACCTTTGGGGATAGATCTGTGGAGGACGACTCTTTCCTCCGAGGGTCAGGTACCAAATAAAATTACCGTCAACTGTTTTAAACGTTGTCGTGTATGCATATTATCGATCGGAGGTCCTGCCATTCGTCCGAAGACCATTTACTTGCGTCGGCCACTCTCGTGCTGTGAGGGGCGTCATCTCTCGATGGTATTCTAAATTGTTACCCAATTGACTGGGTCACTGAATACATGCTGATCTAAAAGCTCTAATTTACTCTCTATATAAACATAATGGGAAACAGTCTCTTTATAATTTATTGTTTACTATGTGTCGTTGTTTGGTTTAACGTAATATGTTCTGTTCTATTACGGTTTACTGTTCAGGAGCAGTTGAAATTAATGAAGATGGAGAAAATTTTCTCATGTTAGATGCCTAAATTTTTCGATTTTTAAAGGTCAATGGACACCGTCTGTAGGACCAAACTGTATTGAGTCATCAGAATTACCGGATACGTTTCCGTTGCATCTTCACCGAATTGCATGAATGACATAGGGAAAACCTAAAGATATATTTCCACCTCTACGTGTAAACGACAACTTGATACATCTGTTACTGTATCATAAAAAACACCAGGGAAAAGGAAATGCCTACACATACGAAACTACGTGTCGTTCTTAAATTTCCTATTCTAGTATCTAGACACATAAAGTTCAGAAAGCCTCTTTCGGTATATTAGTTCTTTTTTCTGTCCACTTTCAAACACGCATTGGTCACGTGATCACAATATGGTACATAGCTATTATATTATATTGTATATTTCAATGTATCTGACCGCTCTACCAATTTGTTTTATTTGATTTGCAATCTTCTGAAAAGGTATAAAACGTAGGAGGAAATAGCTAGTGTCATTGGCTGATTGATAAGGTATTCTATTATATCTATAATCATTAGTTTAATAATGGCACTACGACTAGTTTTACTGGTAGCTTCAACTCTTGTAGTTTCAACACACTCCTTAAGATGGTTTCGTTCAGCTGGTAAGATAATTTACACACTTTTGAAATCCACGAATATTGTGGGTGTCATCACAAATTCTATACAAACCTGGGAGTACATTATCGTCACTCATTATGGGCATCTATTCTGTCTACCCGTCTGTACAAAGTTCGCTTTCGTTCACTGGTGCAGTTTGGGAAGATTTTGTTCATTTTTGTTTTGTAATTTGCATCGAGGCTTGGTTCATTTGTAATTTGATTCTGTTAAGAGGGCTGTCACTCCGGACTGTGATCATATGGGATCTTACGTCGACAACAAACGTGAAAAAACGACAGAACGAAATAACACACACTTAATACGACCGCAGTGACTCCTTGAGATAATTAGCGTTTCATACACCACCTTCTAAACATGATATATCTATATTTAATAATACTATAAATGTTATTTTATAATAGTTTTATATATCATGATAATAGTGGTCTAAACATGCTATATCTATATTTAATAATACTATAAATGTTATTTTATAATAGTTTTATATATCATGATAATAGTGGTCTAAACATGCTATATCTATATTTAATAATACTATAAATGTTATTTTATAATAGTTTTATATATCATGATAATAGTGGTCTAAACATGCTATATCTATATTTAATAATTCTATAAATGTTATTTTATAATAGTTATATATATCATGATAATAGTGGTCTAAACATGCTATATGTATATTTAATAATACTATAAATGTTATTTTATAATAGTTTTATATATCATGATAATAGTGGTCTAAACATGCTATATCTATATTTAATAATACTATAAATGTTATTTTATAATAGTTTTATATATCACGATAATAGTGGTCTAAACATACTATATCTATATTTAATAATACTATAAATGTTATTTTATAATAGTTTTATATATCATGATAATAGTGGTCTAAACATGCTATATCTATATTTAATAATACTATAAATGTTATTTTATAATAGTTTTATATATCATGATAATAGTGGTCTAAACATGCTATATCTATATTTAATAATACTATAAATGTTATTTTATAATAGTTTTATATATCATGATAATAGTGGTCTAAACATGCTATATCTATATTTAATAATTCTATAAATGTTATTTCATAATAGTTATATATATCATGATAATAGTGGTCTAAACATGCTATATCTATATTTAATAATACTATAAATGTTATTTTATAATAGTTTTATATATCATGATAATAGTGGTCTAAACATGCTATATCTATATTTAATAATACTATAAATGTTATTTTATAATAGTTTTATATATCATGATAATAGTGGTCTAAACATGCTATATCTATATTTAATAATACTATAAATGTTATTTTATAATAGTTTTATATATCATGATAATAGTGGTCTAAACATGCTATATCTATATTTAATAATACTATAAATGTTATTTTATAATAGTTTTATATATCATGATAATAGTGGTCTAAACATGCTATATCTATATTTAATAATACTATAAATGTTATTTTATAATAGTTTTATATATCATGATAATAGTGGTCTAAACATGCTATATCTAACTTTAATAATACTATAAATGTTATTTTATAATAGTTTTATATATCATGATAATAGTGGTCTAAACATGCTATATCTATATTCAATAATACTATAAATGTTATTTTATAATAGTTATATATATCAAGATAATAGTGGTCTAAACATGCTATATCTATATTTAATAATACTATAAATGTTATTTTATAATAGTTATATATATCACGATAATAGTGGTCTAAACATGCTATATCTATATTTAATAATACTATAAATGTTATTTTATAATAGTTTTATATATCATGATAATAGTGGTCTAAACATGCTATATCTATATTTAATAATACTATAAATGTTATTTTATAATAGTTTTATATATCATGATAATAATGGTCTAAACATGCTATATCTATATTAAATACTTTTATATATCATTTATATTAAATAGTTTATATTTAGAGCCATTGCCAGTGTTTCCTTGTTTCTATTGCAATATAAAAGCATCTGTGGCTGTCATGCTATTTGTATATTGCATTTCCCAGAACACTCGTAGATCATAACTATATCATTGCAACATTCTGCTGATAAAAACTAGATTAATAGTTCAATATGGATCTTCATATGGTCAAGATATTACGTATTGCGTCTTATACCTTGACTGAAATAACCACTTTTCGTAATACGGAAGTTTGTAAATGCAGCGATTTTGGTTGGATTGTACTTTAGCGTATTCAGCAAATCAGAATCTTCGACAGAACGTATGTATAAAACCAGTTTGCAGTCGAGGGTTGTGATTGGCTGTATTCACTGTCAAAACAAATCAAATCGTTTCATTTCGTGATACAAAAAAGAGTCTATTGCAGTCAATAGCTTGAAATTGTGAAGATGGATTGGTGCTAGAAAAAAACCCTTTAGTTTATTTCTTGTATTTTTAGTGTGCAGAAATACACCAAGCCTTAATAATGGAAATATTATAAGAAATGGGTGGAATAATTTTGACTACAAGTGTAATACCGGATATGAGTTGAGCGTTATTGGTAACTGTCGTAGTCGATTATGGCGCCCACAAGTAATATGTAAAGGTGAGAAGATTTCGAATTCTCGACCGTGATTGGTTCCGACAGTACATACAATCAGATCGATCATGGTGGCGTCCACAAGTAGTATGTAAAGGTGGGAAGATTTTACAAGTTGTTACCCTGTCATTAGGTCAGGCAGTGAATAAAATCAGATCAGACAGTGAATACAATCAGATCAGGCAGTGAATACAATCAGATCAGACAGTGAATACAATCAAATCAGACAGTGAATACAATCAGGTCCACCAATCAGAGTACTTATTGTGTTGAATGACAACATCTTTTATAAAGTCATGATATTTATGCCAACAGAGCACCTCATTTTCAAAGTTACAATTTGTAGCAAATTAAAAAAGTAATTTATTATTAAGCTCATGGCAAGGTGGTATATCTGCTGTCGAATTTTTCATTTACGACCGAGAGTGTTATTACTTGTAATGTCATTTTTGAAATTTAGCTAATGAAGACGAGCAACGCCATACAATCTGTAATTTAGGAACATTTACATGGACATGAACATTAGCCCGCTATTTTTCGATTAACTCTGATTATTATTTCTCAAATCAATTTTTGTTTTGTCTATTTCTACAGCTGTGCAATGTCTAGCTGGTGTAGTTATACCCAATTCTGATGATACACAATCGAAAGGCACTTTTGGTGATACTGTCAAGGCGACCTGTAATATTGGTTTTACTCTAAATGGCCTAGAAGGAAAGAGGACTTGTGGTCCAGATGGGATGTGGCAAATAAACACTGCTTGTGAAGGTAAACAAATAATCCCGGTACTAACAATCCGAAACGCAAAACAAAACTGAAAATCCTAAACAACATTTCAGCAGAACATTGGAAAACAGCTAATGAACTTTTCACATGAGGATATATATCACTTGTATGTTTTACTACCTTTTGTATATAAGGCAGAGTATCAAGAAAAGACGAGTTGTCAAATTAGCTTTCAAACGCGGTTAATTCTGAACACACATGATTTTAAATGCTAAAATTTCGACAGTGAACTGTGAAAACTACTACTGATTGGCTTAGTGCAAATGATTTCCGTTTCTGAGACTAGAGTACGATAGGTCAAACGAATGGTAAACGTGCCACTTTAATAAATGAATTTTAATGTCTATTGTTGTAGAATGCCCAGCTAATGAAGACGAGCAACGCCATACAGTGTGTTATTTGTATGGACATGAACATTAGCCCGCTGTTTTTAGATTATCTCTGATGATTATTTCTCAAATTAATTTTGTTAATTTTCATTTTGTCAATTTCTATAGCTCAAGTATGTCCAGCTGGAGTAATTATACCCAATTCTGATGATACATCATCGACAGCCACTTTTAGTGAGACTGTCATGCCGACCTGTAATATTGGTTTTACTCTAAATGGCCTAGAAGGAGAGAGGATTTGTGGTGCAGATGGGATGTGGCAAATTAACACTGCTTGTGAAAGTAAAAATTAAAATTATTGTTAGATAAAAAGCGCCAACGTTTTCAAATATATTGTAATAGTTGTTTTGTCGTCATCATGGTTATATATTTATCACTAAAGATTTTTGAATGGCTTCATTTACATTCACATGCTAACAAGTACGTCCTTTGTAACATTTCACTAGAAATCGGTCGTCCACCTTTGATTTTCTCTAGTTGGTCAATTTTCAAACTAATTGTTTCATATCTTTGTCTCATCTATTTATATAATTTTAAAATACCCTGGAGGTAAAGCGAAATTCAATTCTGATGATGAGACAATCTCCAATCTGTCATATTTGTCGCCATTTTGTGATGTTATGTGTCATGTGACTTTGTATTTAACTTTTTTAAGCAAAGCTGTCAGTCGGCTTATATTACCTTGCCTGGCAAGCTAGCTTTCAAATTAATTAACTTATCCTTCTTCAATTGTCTCAAATTAATTCCTCTATGTGTTTGTTTCATTTATTTCTACCGCTGTGCAATGTCCACCTGGTGTGTTTATACCCAAACATTGGAAACAGCTAATGAACCTTTCACATCAGGATGTATATCAATCATAGATTTCACTCTGTATTTCTCTATGACAGAATATCACGAAACGACGAGTTGTCAAATTAACTTTCAAACGCGGTTAATTCTGAACACACATGGTTTTAAAGGCTAAAATTTCGACAGTGAACTGTGAAAACTATTACTGATTGGCTTAGTGCAAATGATACCCGTCTCTGAGACTAGAGTACAATAGGTCAAACGAATGGTAAACGTGCCGCTTTAATAAATGAATGTAATTTTTATAGTTGTAGTATGTCCACCTGGTGTAATTATATCCAATTCTGATGATACACCATCGACAGGCACTTTTGATTCTACTGTCATGTCTACCTGTAACAATGGTTTTACTGCATCTGGCCTTCAAGGAGAGAGGATTTGTGGTCCAGATGGGATATGGCAAATAAACACTGATTGTGAAGGTAAATAAATAACCCAAGTATTAACCTTTAGAAACGCAAAACGAAACCCGAAATCCAAAACAACTCTTCGGTCAGACATTTGTAACAGCTAATGAACTTTTCACATGAGGATATATATCACTTGTATGTTTCACTATCGAAACGCGGTTAATTCTGAACACACATGGTTTTTTGAAGGCTCAAATTTCGACAGTGAACTGTGAAAACTACTACTGATTGGCTTAGTGCAAATGATTTACGTTTCTGAGACTAGAGTACAATAGGTCAAACGAATGGTAAACGTGCCACTTTAATAAATGAATTTTAATGTCTATAGTTGTAGAATGCCCAGCTAATGAAGACGAGCAACGCCATACAGTGTGTTATTTGTGAAATTTTGCATGGACATGAACATTAGCCCGCTGTTTTTAGATTAACTCTGATGATTATTTCTCAAATTAATTTTGTTAATTTTCATTTTGTCAATTTCTATAGCTCAAGTATGTCCAGCTGGAGTAATTATACCCAATTCTGATGATACATCATCGACAGCCACTTTTAGTGAGACTGTCATGCCGACCTGTAATATTGGTTTTACTCTAAATGGCCTAGAAGGAGAGAGGATTTGTGGTGCAGATGGGATGTGGCAAATTAACACTGCTTGTGAAAGTAAAAATTAAAATTATTGTTAGATAAAAAGCGCCAACGTTTTCAAATATATTGTAATAGTTGTTTTGTCGTCATCATGGTTATATATTTATCACTAAAGATTTTTGAATGGCTTCATTTACATTCACATGCTAACAAGTACGTCCTTTGTAACATTTCACTAGAAATCGGTCGTACACCTTTGATTTTCTCTAGTTGGTCAATTTTCAAACTAATTGTTTCATATCTTTGTCTCATCTATTTATATAATTTTAAAATACCCTGGAGGTAAAGCGAAATTCAATTCTGATGATGAGACAATCTCCAATCTGTCATATTTGTCGCCATTTTGTGATGTTATGTGTCATGTGACTTTGTATTTAACTTTTTTAAGCAAAGCTGTCAGTCGGCTTATATTACCTTGCCTGGCAAGCTAGCTTTCAAATTAATTAACTTATCCTTCTTCAATTGTCTCAAATTAATTCCTCTATGTGTTTGTTTCATTTATTTCTACCGCTGTGCAATGTCCACCTGGTGTGTTTATACCCAAACATTGGAAACAGCTAATGAACCTTTCACATCAGGATGTATATCAATCATAGATTTCACTCTGTATTTCTCTATGACAGAATATCACGAAACGACGAGTTGTCAAATTAACTTTCAAACGCTGTTAATTCTGAACACACATGGTTTTAAAGGCTCAAATTTCGACAGTGAACTGTGAAAACTTTTACTGATTGGCTTAGTGCAAATGATACCCGTCTCTGAGACTAGAGTACAATAGGTCAAACGAATGATAAACGTGCCGCTTTAATAAATGAATGTAATTTTTATAGTTGTAGTATGTCCACCTGGTGTATTTATATCCAATTCTGATGATACACCATCGACAGGCACTTTTGATTCTACTGTCTTGCCTACCTGTAACAATGGTTTTACTGCATCTGGCCTTCAAGGAGAGAGGATTTGTGGTCCAGATGGGATATGGCAAATAAACACTGATTGTGAAGGTAAATAAATAACCCAAGTATTAACCTTTAGAAACGCAAAACGAAACCCGAAATCCAAAACAACTCTTCGGTCAGACATTTGTAACAGCTAATGAACTTTTCACATGAGGATATATATCACTTGTATGTTTCACTATCGAAACGCGGTTAATTCTGAACACACATGGTTTTTTGAAGGCTCAAATTTCGACAGTGAACTGTGAAAACTACTACTGATTGGCTTAGTGCAAATGATTTCCGTTTCTGAGACTAGAGTACGATAGGTCAAACGAATGGTAAACGTGCCACTTTAATAAATGAATTTTAATTTCTATAGTTGTAGAATGCCCAGCTAATGAAGACGAGCAACGCCATACAGTGTGTTATTTGTGAAATTTTGCATGGACATGAACATTAGCCCGCTGTTTTTAGATTAACTCTGATGATTATTTCTCAAATTAATTTTGTTAATTTTCATTTTGTCAATTTCTATAGCTCAAGTATGTCCAGCTGGAGTAATTATACCCAATTCTGATGATACATCATCGACAGCCACTTTTAGTGAGACTGTCATGCCGACCTGTAATATTGGTTTTACTCTAAATGGCCTAGAAGGAGAGAGGATTTGTGGTGCAGATGGGATGTGGCAAATTAACACTGCTTGTGAAAGTAAAAATTAAAATTATTGTTAGATAAAAAGCGCCAACGTTTTCAAATATATTGTAATAGTTGTTTTGTCGTCATCATGGTTATATATTTATCACTAAAGATTTTTGAATGGCTTCATTTACATTCACATGCTAACAAGTACGTCCTTTGTAACATTTCACTAGAAATCGGTCGTACACTTTTGATTTTCTCTAGTTGGTCAATTTTCAAACTAATTGTTTCATATCTTTGTCTCATCTATTTATATAATTTTAAAATACCCTGGAGGTAAAGCGAAATTCAATTCTGATGATGAGACAATCTCCAATCTGTCATATTTGTCGCCATTTTGTGATGTTATGTGTCATGTGACTTTGTATTTAACTTTTTTAAGCAAAGCTGTCAGTCGGCTTATATTACCTTGCCTGGCAAGCTAGATTTCAAATTAATTAACTTATCCTTCTTCAATTGTCTCAAATTAATTCCTCTATGTGTTTGTTTCATTTATTTCTACCGCTGTGCAATGTCCACCTGGTGTGTTTATACCCAAACATTGGAAACAGCTAATGAACCTTTCACATCAGGATGTATATCAATCATAGATTTCACTCTGTATTTCTCTATGACAGAATATCACGAAACGACGAGTTGTCAAATTAACTTTCAAACGCGGTTAATTCTGAACACACATGGTTTTAAAGGCTAAAATCTCGACAGTGAACTGTGAAAACTATTACTGATTGGCTTAGTGCAAATGATACCCGTCTCTGAGACTAGAGTACAATAGGTCAAACGAATGGTAAACGTGCCGCTTTAATAAATGAATGTAATTTTTATAGTTGTAGTATGTCCACCTGGTGTATTTATATCCAATTCTGATGATACACCATCGACAGGCACTTTTGATTCTACTGTCTTGCCTACCTGTAACAATGGTTTTACTGCATCTGGCCTTCAAGGAGAGAGGATTTGTGGTCCAGATGGGATATGGCAAATAAACACTGATTGTGAAGGTAAATAAATAACCCAAGTATTAACTTTTAGAAACGCAAAACGAAACCCGAAATCCAAAACAACTCTTCGGTCAGACATTTGTAACAGCTAATGAACTTTTCACATGAGGATATATATCACTTGTATGTTTCACTATCTTTTGTATATAAGGCAGAGTACCAAGAAAAGACGAGTTGTCAAATTAACTTTCAAACGCGGTTAATTCTGAACACACATGGTTTTAAAGGCTCAAATTTCGACAGTGAACTGTGAAAACTACTACTGATTGGCTTAGTGCAAATGATTTCCGTTTCTGAGACTAGAGTACAATAGGTCAAACGAATGGTAAACGTGCCGCTTTAATAAATGAATGTAATTTTTATAGTTGTAGTATGTCCACCTGGTGTATTTATATCCAATTCTGATGATACACCATCGACAGGCACTTTTGATTCTATTGTCATGCCTACCTGTAACAATGGTTTTACTCTATTTGGCCTTCAAGGAGAGAGGATTTGTGGTCCAGATGGTATGTGGCAAATAAACACTGAATGTGAAGGTAAATAAATAACCCAAGTATTAACCTTTAGAAACGCAAAACGAAACCCGAAATCCAAAACAACTCTTCGGTCAGACATTTGTAACAGCTAATGAACTTTTCACATGAGGATATATATCACTTGTATGTTTCACTATCGAAACGCGGTTAATTCTGAACACACATGGTTTTTTGAAGGCTCAAATTTCGACAGTGAACTGTGAAAACTACTACTGATTGGCTTAGTGCAAATGATTTCCGTTTCTGAGACTAGAGTACAATAGGTCAAACGAATGGTAAACGTGCCACTTTAATAAATGAATTTTAATTTTTATAGTTGTAGAATGCCCAGCTAATGAAGACGAGCAACGCCATACAGTGTGTTATTTGTGAAATTTTGCATGGACATGAACATTAGCCCGCTGTTTTTAGATTAACTCTGATGATTATTTCTCAAATTAATTTTGTTAATTTTCATTTTGTCAATTTCTATAGCTCAAGTATGTCCAGCTGGAGTAATTATACCCAATTCTGATGATACATCATCGACAGCCACTTTTAGTGAGACTGTCATGCCGACCTGTAATATTGGTTTTACTCTAAATGGCCTAGAAGGAGAGAGGATTTGTGGTGCAGATGGGATGTGGCAAATTAACACTGCTTGTGAAGGTAAAAATTAAAATTATTGTTAGATAAAAAGCGCCAACGTTTTCAAATATATTGTAATAGTTGTTTTGTCGTCATCATGGTTATATATTTATCACTAAAGATTTTTGAATTAATTTCTGGACAAAAATTCACTATATCATGACCATGAAAATCTTGAGCTGGTTCAACTAAAAGTAGACCACTGCATTTTATCAACATCCGCTTGACCGTCAATTTGAAATGTCAAATTCAAAATGGTTGCAGTACCAACACATCAACTGTAGTTAAACTCTACAGGATTCTCACTGCCTCAGAAATGGGATGGTGTTCTACTTCTTACTTTTCTGTAATTGAATGAAGTCAGGCAGTGTGCGATGGGGGAAATTTTGCAAGACAGCAGCATTAACTTATCCTTCTTCAATCGTCTCAAATTAATTCCTCTATGTGTTTGTTTCATTTATTTCTACAGCTGTGCAATGTCCAGCTGGAGTAATTATACCCAATTCTGATGATACACAATCGGCAGCCACTTTTGATCAGACTGTCAAGGCGACCTGTAATAATGGTTTTATTCTAAATGGCCTAGAAGGAGAGAGGACTTGTGGTTCAGATGGGATGTGGCAAATAATCATTCCTTGTGAAGGTAAACAAATAACCCCGGTACTAACAACCCCAGACGCAAAACAAAACTCGAAATCCTATACAACATTTTGACGAAACATTTCAAACAGCTAATGAACTTTTCACATCAGGAAGTATATATCAATTATAAGTGATAGTAAGTATTTCATAATGACAAGTGGTGCATATTTCAACTTGTTGTTATGATTTTGACGATGGATGAAATGTGTCCAGACAGAAACATCAGCCTACTAATGTCCGTTTGTATTTAATCAATCTTTTCTGAAAGGCTGATATTTGGACGGAGAGCTGTGAACATTATTACTGATTAGCTGGGTTGTTTGAACATATGCCTTCCTGCATTCTGAGGCCCTTTGTTGGTCAAGTTAATGGACGATTTAAAGATTTTCACTCATTTATATATCACTGATTGTCTATAAGCAATCATAGCTGACTTTGGGCCTCATTGTCTTATAAAAGAGAATACTATTTCCTTTGGTATATTGTGTTTTAACCTTTTAGATACTTTCTTTAGTGCAGTTTTTAAATTTTGTATTTTCGTTCTGGGAGTTGGAGGCCCTTTCATGGGTGGAAGCCAGTGGACTTGGTTCAAACAGTACCTAGGGTAGTTGAGCCACATAAGATAAAACGTCAACGTTGTTAGAACTAATGTCCTAAAAAGTTGCTTGGTCGTCATCATGTTTACATATTTATTGAAAAAGATAGTTGAGTGCCCGATGAATGGTTAATTAAAGTTTGCATGCTTACGATTGCAATAACTTTCACATGACACCATTTACTTGGTTACATTGAACAAATAAGAGTTCTAATCTCGGTCTGTTTGGTTTGACTTGGTCATCTTTCTTTATTGTTCTAGTTCTTTCTAATATTTCTTTTACAGATATTTGAAATGACGATAAAAGCCAATGTATGATTCAGCAATCTTGAAGATAATCTCGATATTTCAATGTAGAATTCATTCCAATAAAAGCTGCAATTTAAATAGTTGTTACTTATCTCCAGACCTTTGTTATAATCCTCTTATAAAACATCTGCCTCGTATCCTACAAATACCGATATATTCGGTAGATAGATAGTTTATGAGTTCTTTCATACCATCATTAACCCCTACATCTGCGGTTCCAACAATTCTTTTTTTTTTTGAACGAAACTAATCTTCCTCCGACCATCAAAGTCTGCACGCGCATTCCAGGATCAAAGGTCTCAGGGTCACGGGAGGTGATGCCCCGGCATCAGGGTTTGGTGGATTTGAGGTGAAAGAGAAAGGTCTAAGATAACCCACAGGTGCAACAATTCTCCATAAAAGAGGACCTAGTTTTACTGACCCTACCTCGGCCGACAAATAGAGACAAATTACTAATTACTGTAATTCTAAACCTATTACTATTACCGCCGCCCCAAACGGAATACAAAAGCGCAAAAGAGTCATAAGTTATATGAAAAACCTGTCCTTGTTGACACCGGCCATACGTTCCCAAAAAATCTATCATCGAGAAATGTTGGTGGTGTCGCGGGGAATAACTCTATTAGGACACGGACACGGTTCTCATAGGTTTGACATAAGCCAGGCCAGAGGTTTGATGTTGGGTGGTTTGGTGTAGAGGTTTGGACATGTGCTGGTGCAGCCGGTCCCTGCGTGCAAGGGGTTCTCCCCTTCAACCAAAAATAAGGCTTGGGTTCTCGTTCCAAATTTATTATATAACTAAAAAAACCTGTAAAACAGTACAAACAATTAATATATAATCATAAAAGAATATAAACAATATAAACAGTAAAATACTCTATTCCTTATAATACATGCTAATTGATTATCTTATTTAATATTACTATAAATGTACTTATAATAAACTGTTAAATAACCTACCCGAAGTGGGGTTAAATGTATATCTGTAAACTATATCTTATAAACTAAACTAAACATACACAGGCTTTCACTGAATAATGTAGAATTATTCAGATAGCAGACTGAACGACTAGATTTGGTGAAGGAATCAAATCTAGTCTCCACTCTACAAAGTTAATGATGAAAATGTGGCATCTAATACACACAGTAGCTAGGGTGAGGATGAAAACAGCTCACCCCAGAAGACAGACAGAAAGGCGAATCCCAAGATATAAATAGAACAAGACAAAGGGGTATTTACAGGTGATTGGCTGGTGCAGTGAAGTATGAAAAACAACTGTTTAAAGGGACAGTCAAATAAACCACACTGTCACATACTCCCCTCCTTTGAAAAAAATGTCGTCCCGTCATTTTACACAATACCAATAATAAAAACGTCCTATTTAAACTAAAACCAATCCTTCCCTACAAACTAACAACCACAAATAACCTTTAAAGCTTCACAAACAATTTTCCTCCGATCTGATGATAACAAACTAAATTCATCAGAACACAGATACCTAAAGAGAGATGATGGTGTCATGACATCTGAAGTAGTTGCCACCTTCATGACGTAATCTCCATATCGAGATGGTAATCTTCGAGTCCGTCCAGACGTCCTTGTCATAGGTGTTTCTTCTTCTGAGCTGACCGATTCTCCATCTTCAGCGGTGTCGACTACCGCTATTTCTGGTGGAATACAATCGTCAACTTCGTCATCTTGAAGATCTATTGTAGGGCTAGCTGGGGGTGGGTCGCAAGGCTCCTCCTCTACAACAACAAAATCTTCCTCGCTTGTGCTGTCTGAATCAGATAATGCGGTAACTGATGGTAACATCCTACGCCTTTCTGCAGTTCCTGTCTCTACCGGTGCTGGTAAAACCATAGAGATAGATCCAATGGGCAGAAGATTGTTTCGGTGTAACACTCGCACTTTACCGTGACCATCTTCTCTACCTACCTGATAGACTGGTATAACCTCATTTGGCTGCTTAATTACCTTAATTACACACTCTCTTCAAACTTATCTGCTATTTTATGTCTGCCCTCCTTAAATGCTAATCTTTTCACTAAAACTCTGTCTCCTACTTCAAGAACTGACTGTTTAGCCTTCTTATCGTAATGCTCCTTCTGTTGTTGATGCGAACCTGAAATTTCCTTTGACGCTAAATGGTAAGTTGTTTCCATACGTTTTCGTAAGTCAGAGATATATTTCCTGTGACTTTGATGTTGCTCCTGATTTATTAAACCTAGCACAATATCCAAAGCGATATATGGCTTACGACCAAACATAAGTTGAAATGGTGAAAATCCAGTGCTATCATGACATGTACTATTATAAGCATGAGTTAATGATGGTAAATATTGCTTCCAGTCTGATTTCTGAGATGTTTCAAGAGTACCTACCATGTTTAAAAGAGTACGGTTGAACCGTTCACACATTCCATTTCCAGATGGATGATATGGAGTGGTTCTTGACTTACGCATTCCACTCAATGCACACAGTTCCTGGATGATTTTACACTCCTTATCACTATGAATGCGTCTTGGAAAACCATAGTGAACTATAAAGTTTTAGTGGGAATAGCTTGAGCATAACGTGTGAAATGATCGGTAATAACTAATATATTGCTGATGTTTCCCTTACATTCTTCCAGGCAAAGGTAATCCATGCAAACTATTTCCACGGGCGCTGTAGATTGGATGTTAACTAATGGGACACGAGTGTTGGTTGTCGATTTCCTCATGATACACCTTTGACATTTTTTCAAGTAGTCATCCACGTAAGAAGACATCTTCGGCCAAAACACTCGTTACCGAAGCAGAGATAAGGTTTTATCTCGTCCAAGATGTCCCATCCTGTCCTTGAAGAACTACAGTTCTCTCCTCAGAAGGTATCACTAGTTGGTTGATGTACTTACCTGTACTTACCTTTCTTATCACTAGCTTATCAAACTGCTTTTACAATACTGCTTCTAATGGTGATACTGGTGTTTTAACTGGTTTCTTATCTGCCTTGACAGCTCTAAAAATGGGACCAATTACCACATCTAACTGTTGTTTCGTAGACCAATCCAAAGCGGTGTCCATAGAAGAACTATTTGGTACAGACAAATCAGGGATGACATGGGCAGCTAAACAAGAAACATAACCTTCTTCTTCACCCAACAACATGCCTTTAAGTGCTTTAATGCACTCGTCTGAGATTTCACGGAACTCCAAAGTTGGTTCAGGTAGCCTGGACAAACAATCTGGATCTATATTTCTCTTTCCTGATCGATACTTAATACTAAAATCATAATTTTCAAGTGCCGCTAACCATCTATGCCCTGTAGCATCTAATTTTGCTGATGTTAGAATATACGTAAACGGATTATTATCAGTGTACACAGTGAAAGAATTACCATACAGATAATCTGTTACTGACCACTTCAAAGCAAGAAATTCCAATTTATGTGCAGGATAATTTATTTCCGACTTACTCAAACTTCTGCTTGCATATGCTATTACATGCTCTTTCCCATCTGTTACCTGGTACAACACTGCACCCAAACCTCTAGTACTTGCATCCGTGTGGAGAACATACGGTCTAGAACAATCTGGATAAACAAGAACTGGAGGTGAAACTAAAGCCTGCTTTAATTCAATAAATGCAGTCTCTTCCTGTATATCCCAATGCCATGCCGGTGAAACATGTGATGCAACCTTTCTCCCCCTCTTTTTGGATGTTGGACTCCCGACCAAGAGTTGATTAAGTGGCTGAGCAATTTGAGAAAAGTCTTTAATAAATCTTCTGTAGTATCCTACAAATCCTAAAAAGCTACGTAACTCATCTGCATTAGTTGGTGTCTTCCAATCTGTAACTTTAGCAATTTTATCAGGATCAGTTTGAACTCCATCGGGTGAAACAATATGCCCTAAATACTTTACCTTCTGTTGGGAAAATTTACATTTCTTTGGTGCCAGCTTTAAACCAGATGACTCAAATCTTTCGAAAACCAGTTGTAACCGCTCAAGGTGACCGAAAATATAATAACATCATCTAGGTATATCATACAGATCTTCAAGTGTAAATCACCAAGACATTCCTCCATCAATCTCTGATAAGTAGCAGGCGCATTGGTCAGTCCAAATGGCATACGATTGAACTCGTAGAAACTTAAAGATCCTACTGTAAAAGCAGTTTTACACTTATCTTCTTCCTTTAACTCAATTCATATCAATAACACTAAACCACTTAGGACCACACAAGTTATCGAGAACTTCCTCTATACGTGGTAAAGCATAGGCATCTTTGATGGTACGACGATTCAACTGTCTGAAATCAACACACATTCTTAATGAGTTATCCTTTTTGCGACAAAGTACAATATTAGAAGCCCATGGACTGTTAGACTTCTTAATGATACCACTGGTAAGCAGATCTTGCAGATGTTTTCTTACCTCATCAAACATAGCTGTTGGAATTTGTCGATGTTTCTGCTTAAATGGAGTCTCATCAGTAAGTTTAATAGAATGTTTCACTAAACCAGTACATCCTACATCAACATCACTATTAGAAAAGATATGCTGCCATTTCTTAATGAAATCTCTTGCCACTTCCAAATCTTGCTCTAACAAGGGAGCAGTGCTCCAATCTACTCTCTCAATTCCATTACAGCCATTGCTAATCGCCTCCTGAGTGGAGTGTATGACAGCTGAAACAGTGTCACTAGACTGAATCACTTTAACAGGAACAAATTCATAAACAATAGAATTGGGCTGAATATTTATAGGGTATGCTGACAAATTAGACACGGTTACATAAACCATGCTGTCTCCCCCTGGTTGAAATCTGACCAAAGTAAGTGCAATTTCCAATGACGATGGCAATTTGGAATGTCTAGATGATTGACAAAGTACATCGCCACTAGTTGCAGAATGTTTTCCCTGTAAACGGCAAACAACAATTGTCGAACTATTACTATGCAGACATACAGATTTCCTTTCTGCTGATTTCACAAGTCCTGTGCATAATATTTCTTGTTGAGATTTCACAAACACCTTCATACAACGGAATGCCAGTAACTAAGGAGTATAGGCTTTTATACAACTCATAAAGTTAATACCATAAGTCTCCTTAGTCTCTCTCATTAAATATTCCAAGATGTTAGTCCCCAAAATAATTGGAACATCCTGATGATAGGATGTGTCCTTAACAACAAGAAAAATGCAAGGTATAGACTAAACAGAAATTGACGCCTCTACAAGACCAAGGTATGGACCCTGGTTAACTCCTGCGCCTTCTAACTTTATAATATCCTGAATTTCATAAAATTCACATCCATGTTTAAGATATCTTGTATAAAATGACTCACACACAATTGAAACCTGAGATTCAGTGTCTAACAAAGCTATTCCAGGATGGTCATTGATCAAAACTTCAGCTTGATTGCTGTTTCCAACCATTTTTGTCCTTATAGGGCCAATAGTACTGAAGACGTTATGAACCACAAAGTCAAAACCCAAAATAAATTCAAAACTCAAAATTCAATCAAAGACCTCACAATATCAAATCATTCAACAGAACACCAAAAACGTCAAATATCAAGTCATTTCAACAGAACATTCAAAACGTCAAAGTCCAAATCAACAACTATACAATGTGAGTGCAAGTGAGTTGATGATATAAAACCTGAAAAAAAAATATGACCGAGAAAAGAAAGAATTAAGCTGAAAAGAAAAAGATTCGATATGTGTGTTGCTTACACAGACCCCTCCCGTACTATCTATCAAACTTTCAAGCACACAAAATTATTTACCATCTGCTTAAATTTACGTATTATTATTAAATGCTATTATGTAACATGTGTATACTATATATATATGTAGATGTAAATTACTTAATGTATCAAAACACTAAAATAAATTACTGAGTACAAATGAAAAAAATAATGATATCAATCCATTCTTGACCTAGTGACACAATGACCTTGACACCATTACCCAGACCAAGTGACCTACTGTGGCCAAAATATTTCAAAAGCAATCCTTGAACCTCTGAAAGGTCAAAGCAAAGGTTAGGTGAACTGTTCACTAAATCAAGGGTAGAATGAATATGTGATCACTTAAGGCCTATGAAAACAAAATTAACTAAATACTAAATAACTAACTACCTTAATCCTAGGATAAACACTCACTAAATATAAGTTCACTTCAGTTCACAATCGTTGACGCGGTGCGCTCACAATTCTGTCGCAATAACTTATCCAATCTTTTGTTGAGCTGAGGCCTTTAAAATCCAGGTAGGGCGCCAAAATGTAGCCGGTCCCTGGGTGCAAGGGGTTCTCCCCTTCAACCAAAAATAAGGCTTGGGTTCTCGTTCCAAATTGATTATATAACTAAAAAAACCTGTAAAACAGTACAAACAATTAATATATAATCATAAAAGAATATAAACAATATAAACAGTAAAATACTCTATTCCTTATAATACATGCTAATTGATTATCTTATTTAATATTACTATAAATGTACTTATAATAAACTGTTAAATAACCTACCTGAAGTGGGGTTAAATGTATATCTGTAAACTATACCTTATAAACTTATAACGACGTGACGTAACATATCTTTTATACAGGCTGAAAAGTGCATTATATATATATAATAAACATCCCTATAAAAACAGGATAGTTATGACTATATTAACTTATATAAGGGAATAAATTACCTAGTTCCAAGTTTAATTATTGCATTGCTGAAATATATTTAAAATAAACCATTTACACCCATTCTTACTAAAATTGGTAAAATCCTTGACAATAACCCATAAAGAAGAGAAGAGAAACACACATACCTTTCACTGAATAATGTAGAATTAATCAGATAGCTGACTGAATAACTAGATTCTAATCTAGTCTCCACTCTACAAAGTTAATGATGAAAAATGTGGTATCTAATACACACAGTAGCTAGGGTCGAACCACTACCTACCACGCCTGTCACTATGGACGAACCACTACCTACCATGCCTATCACTATGGACGAACCACTACCTACCATGCCTGTCACTACGGACGAACCACTACTAACCACGCACATCACTATGGACGAACCACTACCTACCATGCCTGTCACTACGGACGAACCACTACTAACCACGCACATCACTATTGACGAACCACTACCTACCATGCCTATCACTATGGACGAACCACTACCTACCATGCCTATCACTATGGACGAACCACTACCTACCATGCCTATCACTATGGACGAACCACTACTAACCACGCACATCACTATTGACGAACCACTACCTACCATGCTTATCACAATGGACGAACCACTACCTACCATGCCTATCACTATGGACGAAACACTACCTACCATACCTATCACTATGGACGAACCACTAACAACCATGCTTATCACTATGGACGAACCACTACCTACCATGCCTATCACTATGGACGAACCACTACCTACCATGCCTGTCACTATGGACGAACCACTATCTACCATGCCTATCACTATGGACGAACCACTACCTACCATGCCTATCACTATGGACGAACCACTACCTACCATGCCTATCACTATGGACGAACCACACCTACCGTGCTTATCACTATGGACGAACCACTACCTACCATGCCTATCACCATGGACGAACCATTACCTACCATGCCTATCACTACGGACGAACCATTACCAACCACGCCTATCACTACCCCTACATCTACTTCCAACCTGGAACAACGGCAATCCTGAAGCAGGGTTGTGATTCTCAGTTGTCCCAAGCGGAGAGAATGGTAAAAAGATTACGAGTACTACTGAAGACCGGTGAAGTAGGAGACAAGGTTGCTATTCCTATACCTATGGTTGACAGGGATAGGGGTGACCCTAGAAATATCCTTGGTGTGATCATTGATCGTGATGTACAAAACATGTACACCATTGCCGTTAAGTCTGGATTAATAAGTTCCAAATATTCAAGAAATCAATTTGATTTATGTCCACAAAAGCTCCTAAGTAATTGTGATGTGAACACAGAATGTTGAGTGACACTTCGCCAAGCTGTGAAAGCATCCACATCAGGTGGGCAAGGTTTTTTTCGATGCGATTGCGGAAATGGAAAAAAAACAATGTCAAACCAACAGATGCAAGTGTTTTAAGGCTGGAAAATTGTGCAATAGTAGATGCCACAGCAGTCTTACATGTAAGAATAAATGACTCCATGAACATTATTATATGCTCTTCAAAAATGTGCTATTATTATTCTTGTTGTTTAAATAATGTACAAAACTGTTATAAAAATAAAAAATGTTGTATAAATTAGTCTTATTATATATTAACCCACCTGATTCTCATGCTCTTCAATAAGAATTTTTATTTTAGCCATTTCATGAAATGGCTGAGTGAATTGGTCATTTCATGAAATGGCTGATTTCACAGATTGACTGTAACATATAGATGTTATAAATGTTACGTAAGCGATTTACCGACTTTCATTAATCTGCTACTACAATGGGTACCATAGATAGTACGTCATTCGGAAAATTTTCGGTAGTTACCGTTAGGCCAGCACGTCATTCGTTAATGAACGATAGTTTCCGTTAGGCCAGCACGCCATTCGTTAATTCTAGGTTATTTTCGTTAGTCCGGAATGACAATAGTTAATTTTGGTAGTTGACGTGCACTATTTTTTTTCATTAATTCTCGGCAGCTTACGTAAGTCCAGTATGTAGTTATTTCTCGGTAGTTGTCGTAAGTCCAGTATGTAGTTATTTCTCGGTAGTTGTCGTAAGTCCAGTATGTAGTTATTTCTCGGCAGCTTACGTAAGTCCAGTATGTAGTTATTTCTCGGTAGTTGTCGTAAGTCCAGTATGTAGTTATTTCTCGGTAGTTGTCGTAAGTCCAGTATGTAGTTATTTCTCGGTAGTTGTCGTAAGTCAAGTATGTAGTTATTTCTCGGTAGTTGTCGTAAGTCCAGTATGTAGTTATTTCTCGGTAGTTGTCGTAAGTCCAGTATGTAGTTATTTCTCGGTAGTTGTCGTAAGTCCAGTATGTAGTTATTTCTCGGTAGTTGTCGTAAGTCCAGTATGTAGTTATTTCTCGGTAGTTGTCGTAAGTCCAGTATGTAGTTATTTCTCGGTAGTTGTCGTAAGTCCAGTATGTAGTTATTTCTCGGTAGTTGTCGTAAGTCAGGTATGTAGTTATTTCTCGGTAGTTGTCGTAAGTCCAGTATGTAGTTATTTCTCGGTAGTTGTCGTAAGTCCAGTATATAGTTATTTCTCGGTAGTTGTCGTAAGTCCAGTATGTAGTTATTTCTCGGTAGTTGTCGTAAGTCCAGTATGTAGTTATTTCTCGGTAGTTGTCGTAAGTCCAGTATGTAGTTATTTCTCGGTAGTTGTCGTAAGTCCAGTATGTAGTAAGTTATTTCTCGGTAGTTGTCGTAAGTCCAGTATGTAGTAAGTTATTTCTCGGTAGTTGTCGTACGTCCAGTATGTAGTAAGTTATTTCTCGGTAGTTGTCGTAAGTCCAGTATGTAGTTATTTCTCGGTAGTTGTCGTAAGTCCAGTATGTAGTTATTTCTCGGTAGTTGTCGTAAGTCCAGTATGTAGTTATTTCTCGGTAGTTGTCGTAAGTCCAGTATGTAGTTATTTCTCGGTAGTTGTCGTAAGTCCAGTACGCTATTTGGCAATTCTCGTAAATCGCTCCAAGGGGTGTCAATAAGAAAGATCGTGAGATAACTATGGACAAAAATAAAAAATAAATAAAATTGCTTGCTCGGGGTGTAAATGGTTGGGGTCGTTGATTTTTACTCTATATATTTTGCTATGTGATCTGTGGTATTTCTACCTTTTTTACACTCAAGGTAGTTAAATTTTAAACGATTACATTTAAAGGGACGATACACCATTTTGGGGAGTTGATTTGGTTTGTGAATATATGTAGATAGTACTAAAATGTTAGAAAATCTCATAATTTCTTTAAATATTCACTATTTCTATATGTCTTTTCTTTATATCACAGAGTATTTTAAATTGACGAGTCGTCATTTTAACATTCAAACGCAGATAGATCAGGACACTCATGGGGGCTCTAATTTCGATGGTGAGCTGTGAACAGCTGTGAGACTAAAGTGTGATTGGTCAAAATCAAAATAAGGCGCATCTGTCCCTTTAAAAGAGACGATTAATAGAACAATGTAGTAAATTGGTTAAGTAAGCAATTCAATTTGGCGTTTAATTGCTCAAACCTGTACATTAATTTCCAAAACATAGTGAATTTCAAAGGTCTAAATGAAATAAAATTTAAGAACGAGATATTTTTGGTAAAAAAACTTTTAGATAAGATTGTGGATAGATTTCTCTGGCTAGATTTGAGTGTATAATTTCCATTAATTTCCAGCCTACTTAAAAAAATCACACTCATGTCCCTGAGTCATACAAAACCAGGGGCAAGGAATAAAAATAGATTTTTTTTATTTTTGAGAAGGTATATAACGTAGGAAGAAATAGCTAGAAGGTATTTTATTATATCTGTAACCATTAGTTTAATAATGGCACTACGACTAGTTTTACTGGTAGCTTCAACTCTTTTAGTTTCATCACAATCCTTAACTTGGTGGAGCCCAGCTGGTAAGATAATTTACTTAAACTTCATCTTCACAATGTCATGCTATTACTAACTTTATCTTCACAATGTCAAACTATTACAAACTTTATATTCACAATGTCAAACTATTACCAACTTCATCTCCACAATGTCAAACTATTACAAACTTCATCTACACAATGTCATGCTATTACTAACTTTATCTTCACAATGTCAAACTATTACAAACTTTATCTTCACAATGTCAAGCTATTATAAACTTCATCATTACAATGTCAAGCTATTACCAACTTCATCTATACAATGACAAGCTATTATAAACATCATCATTACAATGTCAAGCTATATCAAACTTCATCTTCACAATGTCAAGCTATTACAAACTTCATCTTCACAATGGCAAGCTATTACCAACTTCATCTCCACAATGACAAGCTATTATAAACTTCATCTTCACAGTGTCAAGCTATTACAAACTTCATCTTCACAATGGCAAGCTATTACCAACTTCATCTCCACAATGACAAGCTATTACCAACTTCATCTTCACAGTGTCAAGCTATTACAAACTTCATCTTCACAATGGCAAGCTATTACCAACTTCATCTCCACAATGACAAGCTATTATAAACTTCATCATTACAATGTCAAGCTATTACCAACTTCATCTTCACAATGTCAAGCTATTACCAACTTCATCTTCACAATGGCAAGCTATTACCAACTTCATCTTCACAGTGTCAAGCTATTACAAACTACATCTTCACAATGGCAAGCTATTACTGTATATTAAACAGTCCATATATAACTTTCCATCTTGTATTTTTAGTGTGCAGAAATACACCGAGCCTTAATAATGGAAATATTATAAGAAATGGGTGGAATAATTTTGACTACAAGTGTAATACCGGATACGAGTTGAGCGTTACTGGTAACTGTCGTAGTCGATTATGGCGTCCACAAGTAACATGTAAAGGTAAGATTATTTTACAAATTCTTGCTCGTGATTCAGACCCGTGGCCAGACTTGATTGTTCGGAGGGACAAGTAATATATCTAGAGGGGCAATGGTGTATGATGTTTAGTAGCAGTAATATTACCTTGCCCTTCTATAGCTACGGACCTGTCTTGATGGTTCATAATGTATTGAATACAATCAGATCCACCAATCAGAGTTCCTTGGGTTGGATAAATACAATCTTCAGAATGTTACGATGTCTCCAATTTATTAATTAAATTACAATTCCGTTCTTTTTTCCTTTTTTTTTTTGTTTGTTCTGATATTATTATTCTATATTATAATCTCAGAGGTTTTCTATCAAAAAGCCTGTTCCAAAGGTAGTATTTTTAAGCAATCAAAGCTTGTCATTTAAAACCCGTTTCTTGATAAAATAAAGATTTGTAGGGTATAACTACTTTTATTCTGTAGTTCTTGATTTGGTTATCTGGCCTGTATGGATTTTTATTATCTAAAATAAATTCTCCGGTGTTTGTGTTTATTCAATTTCTATAGTTGTGGAATGTGAAGGAGATCAGATGATAACCAATTCTGATGATAAAACAATCAAAGGCACATTTGGTGACCCTTTCTCGTTTAACTGTAAGGCTGGTTTTACTGAACTTGGCCCTACTGGAAGTTTGACTTGTGGAGATCAAGGGCAATGGCAAATAGACGCCGGTTGTGAAGGTAATTGTTGTACTATTATATTTAACTTGATGGTTTGGATTTCTGGTTTCGTTTTTCGTTTAGGGTCATTAGTACTGGGTTTGTTTATTTTGAAAATTTAAAATGTCTTGAAACAATATCAGTACCACTACATCTATTCTAGGAATATTCTAGAAACATTCTTATAAATTTAAATGAAATGTAAAGGAGCTTTAAGTCGTACTTTTCTGCATCTTTTCCACACCATGAAATATGCAACGTGGACAATGTTTCCAGAATATTGGGCATTAGCCTGCTCTCTTTCGATTTCGACTGTCAAGGGATCTTTAGCGTAACATATATAACTATCACTGATTGGTCAATTGTCAAATTAATTTCTATTCCTGAAGAGTGAACATTAAGGGGCAAAAACGTCCATTTCCGGATGTATATTAAACCATATCTTAATGTTTATCATTTATTACTGTTCAAGCCTATAATGAATTTTCAAATTAATTCTCTGCGTCTTACTTTAAATTTCTATAGCTGTAGAATGTCCCGAGGGTGAGGTTATTGGTCGACCCAATTCTACTGATACGACAATAGCAGGCACATTTGGTGACCCCTTCGTATTTACCTGTTTACCCGGTTTCACTAGAGATGGTACTACTGGAAGTATGATTTGTGGCACGGACGGATCAAAGGGGATATGGCAAATAATTCGTCCTTGTATAGGTAACGTCATATTCTAACTTGAATTTACCGCTTGATTAAAAAAGTCGTTACCTTATGTATTGAAATAGTTGTGTTGTTGTCATCATCGTTACGGATGATGTATCGCAAAAGATATTTGAGTGGCGCAGGAATTAACATTAGTATGCTTACGAGAACATGTAAGAACATTCCTTAGCGTTAAGCCACAGCGTTGGTTACGTCGAACAAATGGTGGTCGTGGGTTTTAATCTTGGTTGACATGTGAAAGTATGGCGACCGTGAATAGATCATCATTTCTTATTATCACAGTCGATCCAGTATAATGTCAAAAACCTCTAAATATTTATGTTTATGTTTATTGCTTTTTAATATTTTCTCTAATACAGGTATTTATTTTTCAGTTCCTCAAAATTAGGATAAAGAACAGCATAGCCTATCTTTCAGCAAGCTTGAAAACAGTTTCTTTGGCCCATCGAACCACTTAGCAATACAGTTGTATATGTGCATTTAGTATATTTATTGCTTTAATTCGTCGTTTGATACCCGGAGTTACTGTGATTACAGAACGCTATTGTTTGTCGCTAGTATGTCCAACTTATCAAGTGATTCTGGTAGTGCAAACTATAGGCTGGTACCACAATGAATCATCCATTAAATGACATAATACAAAGTAATATAGAAATAAATCACTTGAGACAACGAAGACCAAAATTAAAAATACAACATGCTTACTCTTTTCTAAACACCTGATGATACTTCTCTATGGAGGAGTCCATTACTTTACAACTTTTACTCTCGATTTGACATGGTTTGGACGGAAGTTTGATTAACAAAATTGATTTAAAATCCAGCGAGAAGATGGATTTGGGATGTTTTGGAAATTCTAGTCTTAAGACATTACATCAAGTAACGTTGCTTAAGGAACATAACTTTTACCATTATCTGCCAATCATCTTGACACCAGAAATTTATAAAATATTCGATTAAAAAAAATTGCTAAATTTGGTAATTGATATCCATGTAACGTATCATTATAAAGAGGATAATGAGTACATTCTGATTATGAAAACCACATTCATGTTTGAACCATATAATATTATAAGCCAAAATTTCAATAGTTTACATGTAAGCTTTATAATTGTAATACGTTTATACATTATTGTTATCGTTGGAAAGGGGGACAACATTACATTAAGAATCTGAAATTCCAACGGGGCAAAAACGTCAATTTTCGGATGTATATTTAACCATAACTTAATGTTTATCATTTATTATTGTTCGAAGCCTTAACTGGAGCTGGAATTTGGATGCTACATGCCAATTTCCACGACGAGTTGAATTTCCTACTCTTCTGTAACTTATGAAGATTGTCAATGCCATTCAGTGTACAATGGAGGACATTTTATCACTCAAAACTTGCTAATATAAAATTACTGGTGAACCATTTGAACTAATCTTTATTCAACTAAATAAATAAGATTAAAACAAAACAACAATCAACTCAGAATACAGTCTGATCTTTGAAATATTTTGAGTCTTACCAAATCTTAATTATATTTCAACAAAATCAAGAAAGTATAAAGGAATACTGCCTCATAGAATGGACATGTATATAGAGTATATTATATTCATCAGTTGGACTTACCAGACTAAAGAATATAATCTCTATATAACACTCTCCAATACCGTTACGTGTCTTATCTTGTATATAAAGACTTTAAGAGGTAGTATACCTTTAAAATAAAACAACAATCAACTCAGAATACAGTCTGATCTTTGAAAGGTTCTAAACCAGCAGGTCACCCTTGAACTTTTAAATCCAAGTATTAAACTTTATTGGTTTATTGAGTGTGATAATCTTGAGCCAATGGATTGGTTGCACAATTGGTAATCATCTTATTGGTCAATATCAGGTCAGTTTGTTTTCTGATATACAAAAAAGGAAATTCACTTTAAGCTCTAAAAAACCATTTAAGAAAGTCTGTCCATTACAATAATATCAACCAATCAGTTTAGTGAGTTTATTTTAAAACTACCAGATCGTCAACTCTGAAGTGTCATAGACCTTTTAAATTAACTTTTCAGATAACAGACTGATATGCCAGAAAATGGTTGCAGTTCAGCCACAATTTCTCAAGAACATCATTAAGAACAATCAAATTTTTTTTTAAAAATCACTAACATTGCAAATATTCTATAACAAACAATCTGATAATAAAAACAGCCTCATATATAGTGCACATGAATATTAGTTTAGTTCAAGGGATATGGTTGTCTTAAATAAATTCTATAGCTGACATAGTGTGGTTTACTTTTTAATAATTACCACTGTAGTAGTAGCAGGTGTCACACTCTTTTCGAAACACCTGTTGGTACTTCTCTTTGGAGGAGTTTACTACCACACAACTTTTACTCTCAATTTTGCTATATTCTGGAGGAGATGTTGATTAACGGAATTGTCTTGCTTGTTGGGATGTTTTATCTTTAATAATTGTAAATATCATAGTCATCAGATGAAATAAAGGCGAAGGGGTAAACATGAGAATATAGAGAGGAAGAGTAAGTTGAGCCTGTATAAATCTCTATCTAATAACGACCATATCCCTTCAAAAATTAACATGAAAATAAATTAGTAACAAAGAAAATAATATAGACTAGTTCAAACTTCAACAATTCACCATACAGAATATATAGATATAAATAACACTCTAGGGAGGGTGGGTGCGAGAGAGGATGGAGGGGGTTAGGCTATGGTGACAGATCATACACAAACAAATGTAGTTAACAGCCATTTTGAATCTCTTCCTCGATTTAATAAGTAATACTTAAAAAGTCTATAACATTTCAACACATTTAAAGGTTTGGAAATGGTTATAAATGTGATTTAAAGGCTTGGTTGAAAATTATCGTATTTTTCCAAATTCGACTTATCAAGTCTAAAGAGAGATTCTAAATAGTTGTGAACTACGTTCGTGTGTTTTATTTTCAAGAACCATACGTAGTTTCGTTTCAGTGACAGATATGCATTCCAGATTCACTCAATCGTACAAAAGGGTGCGTTATGTACTCGCAATTATATGGTATTCATAATATCAATTCGGTTAATATACAGATCAAGATGTTTTGGTTCATGTTTTCTTGGTGGGTGACCGGACTTGTTCTCCATGATCTAATGATACATAATAATTATGAGGATTCTGGAATATTCATGGCCATGGGTCAATTTAGTTTTTTTTTTCGAGTTCATGTAAGTGTTTCAAATTTACTGAAGTAAGGATTACACTGAACAAATTTGATTGTAAATATATTGCCAATCTTTTGTTTGTTTGCCACCTTCAAAATAGTTTTTTAGAATTATAAATATTTATATCATCAACTTTAATTGCTTGAAAAAACACTAAATATTCTTCTTTTTTCATTTTTTTATTTTTTTTTGTTTTTGTTTTGTGGTATAACATATATTTTTTTTCAACTTTTGTGTAAGTTTTTAAAATCTACTGAGGTAAGGTAAATATATTTGATTATGGATATATTGCCTACTTTTCTTTATCCTTTACCACTTTCAATTCAAACTTAACTTTTTTTTACATTATATACCTTTATCTACCTTTATCTACCTTTATATTGCCCTAAATAAGAAACAACTTCCCTAATCCTTTTTTTATTTTCAAAATTGGATCAAATTTTGAACGAAGTAATCAACCATAAATTTAGTAACATTAATCTAATTTAACTTAACATCAACTTTCCACTAAATATTTAAATTTTTGAACTCCCTTATCCACGAAATAAAAATACAAACAGAAGATTAGGGTCATGAATATATAATTAGTTGAACTATTGCCGTTAAAATCGAAGTAAGTGATGGCTCGAATAGTACAAGAGGTAAAAACATAGGAGATCAAAGCAATCAATACTAAAAGAATTCGCTGAATTGTCGTATGGCTGAATGGTGCCTCCATACCCTGCCCTTTACCTCCTCTAGCGTGGATATCTTTAATAGATACAGGTTTCCCTGGCTCCATGTCCATTCTAGGTAAAGGATTTTTCTTGGTTTTGCTCTTGCGTTCAGCTCGGTTTCTAGCAGCAGACTTGACAGGGAAAGACTTGGTAATATGGTGTGACAGTTCTTAAATAAAAATCATCATTGACAATAAATAAAAGGCCGTGACTATTCGCAGCGCGATGGTACAGAAATGGGAATCAAATCAAAATATCTTCACCCTTGAAAAAAAAATCAAGGCCAGCGCGCCCATTGTCTCCTATCTTAACTGTACCGTTGTTAGCAGCCATAGACAACATAGAGCGTAAAAAAAATACAAAATAAAAGAATACAAAAACTAAATGGATTTTTAAATAAAATGGTTTTGCCCTCCCTCGGGTTAAAACATACAGGCAACTCAACAAAGTTTGCAATGAGGCAAATTTCGCTACAACAAGAGCATTCGTCTATGCCTTTTCGTTTTCCACCTGTTGGGGGATCCTGGAGCATGTTGTAACGTTTCTTAATTCAATTTTTTAAAATTTTGACAAATACACAATAAATGTGGTCTGAAATTATTATTATAAAATAGAGTTACCTACCTTCATCTAATTGGCAAGACTGTATAATTTTCCTACACAATGGACAGGGAATATCTAGACAGGACCTAGTGGTCAGTTTTCTCAAGCAGAGCTCACAGAATACATGACCGCAGGGTTCCACACGATAGGGATGATAGTATAGTTCCAGACAAACAGGACAAGTTATAGAACTATCTACAGCTGTGTCCAGAACTTTACTGGGTGGCTGAAAAATAGAAGAACACAGACTTCTTAAAAAAGGCCAGAGGATGATTTTAGGGTTCCAACGTACCCAATGTGGCTCAAGTTTTCCTACTATTTAGACCCCAATGGACTCAAAAATCCAAATTAAAATCAGTTACTTGGTCAATCACTTAAACACAGTTTCGCTGTTCAATTATATAACGATAAAGAATAAGGCTGCAGGGAGCTAGCAGACTGGCTTAGCATTCCCATTTGTTAAAAGCCAAGTGAAATATGCATTGTATGGTTGTATGGTTATATCACAGAAGGTTTCAATGTGGATTATTCTGATGTTTGGTTTGACAGGATTATATTGATTCCAATTGGTCTAAAACCGGTTTTCAAGGCTTGAAACAAAAGTAAAATTCTACTTACTATATAATCTTCTCCAAAAGTTTTTTCATATTTTTCCATGACCAGAACAGGATTAGAGAAATTCTCAATCACTTTAGCCATTTTTTCTTTCAATTTTTTGCGTCTCCTGGCTGATTTGGAAACTTTCTTGGGAACAATCTGGTCATCTGGAAGCAGGAAAATTAAAATTCTATGAAGGTATACCTTGAAAAGGAAGTCTTGAAGATGCAATCCTATTCACCTGTGTAATATATTTTGCTATGTGAGTTTAAGACCAGTGGCTGCTTCGGGAATTTTCAATTCATCAAAAATCATTTCAAATTTTATTTTTAAGTCTCGTATCGTTTAAGCATATTGTTTGGAATATGACGGATAAATGGAATGATAAAACTGAAAATAATAAATGGCCCTGATACACATTAAAAAGCATGAAAACCATTTGAATGTTGACTTTAAGCAATAAGGCTGTCCAAGGTGGATTTAAGGTTTACTCACCAATGTCCTTACCACCATCGCCATCAGGTCTATCAGAAGAGTCCTCAGTACCGGCAACACTAGCTGTTTCTTCAGAACCACCAGATATACTCTCGGTCTCCTCTGGTACAGATGATTCTCTTACCACTTCCAGACTTCTCTTTGGTCCTTTAGTACCAGCATCTGATTTCTTTCCTTTAAGGTCCTCAGTATTGGCAAAAGTACCTTTATTCTGAAGGTCCTCAGTATTGGCAACAGCTTCTTCGACACAAAGGTCCTCAGTATTGGCATCTTCTTCTTCATCCTGAAGGTCATCAATGGTCTGATCCTTTGCTAGCAGAATTGACATGGTAGCTAGATCTCTCTGCTTCTTATTCTTGCTGAATGTTTCAAAATATTCCTTCTGGACTGAGCTTGCTTCTTGCTCAGATTTTTGAGTAATCTGTTGATCTTCTGAATCTTTTGAATCTGGATTAGCTGTTTGATCACTATCATCTGCAGTAGCCTCAACAGTAGCCTGTCTTTTCTTCTCCTTCTTCTTCTGTTTCTTGGATTTCTTTTCTACAAATCCTGTCCAAACATCCGTAGCAGCCCCTTGGGTTGTTTTTTGAGATGTGGGTTCTAGAGAACTAGCTGTCTCATCAGTTTCAGTTACTTCTACTGAAACATCTTTTCCTTGGCTAGGACTGACTGGTTTGTCTGGTACTATTGTTCTAGGACCTTCTATCTCTGTCTTTGGTTTAGCACCCTGTCCAGACCTCTGTTTCTTATCAGTTAAGGCAGCCTCCTTACTCGACTGTCTCTCCATTGAAAGAGACTTTTCAGCCACCAGTGACTTCCCCACAGGTGGAACAGGAGTCCCAGTGCAGGTCAGTGCAGATGTAGATTGTACTGATGGTTCAGCAGTAGGTGGAGAGCTCTGACGAACTATATGAGAATATTTCAAGGAAACATTTCGTTTGGCTGTCTCTAAAATCTCATTTTCCAAAAGCAGATCAGTTTCGTTAGAGGACTCATCTTCAGAGTGATCAATTATCTGAAAATCTGAGCTCTTGTCCAGTTCACTTTCAGGGGATTCCTCATGTGAAGTAATAGGGGATTCCTCGTGTGAAGTGATAGGGGATTCCTCATGTGAAGTGATAGGGGATTCCTCAGATGAGGGAGATTCCTGCTTTGGTGATTCCTGAGGGATTTTCCCTGTTACTAAAGATAGATCAAGAGATTGTTGACACGAATCTTCCAATATTACTATCAGATCATCATCTACATCCTCCTGGGAAACTGAATCATCCAGTGGAGCTGCTTCTTTGAGGGGCTCCTCTGCACCCCGCTGACCTTCAACCTTTGGGGGTCCCTCACCCTCCTGGAGACTCGCATCTTCTACAATCTCCCAACTGTCAGGTTGGGGCGTTTCCTCGACATGTACCCACTGGTTTTCTGGTTTGTCTGCCTGTTTTCCATTCTTCTTGCTTGACTTCCTGGACTTTGGCATCTCCTCAAATTAAAATACCCTCTCTGTCTGTCTCTCCTGATGCCAAACTTCCAAATCAACCTGCAATAGAGTGATTTCTCATTAATGGTTTAAGATAAATATTCCAAATTAAAATTGAATTGAACTCTCTGTCAAGGCTGTTGATTTTGGTCTATTTGCCGTACTTGTCTGACAAGCAATATCCTTTACCAGACAACAAGTATAGGTTAGCCATTACACGTCATTTAATATCTGTCAAATGACAACTAGCTAATGAGATACCAAACTAAAGAGTCTCTGACAGGTATTCTGAGTTGATCAACCTAAATACTAAATAAATGATATAAGCAATGTGGACTCTCTGAAAGAGTTGCCTTGTTCACTAGCTATAAATAAACTCCTCTCTGAAAAGCAAGGGGCCTCCTCAACAAGAAATACCATGATCAGAATGAATTTGGAAGAATGAAGGAGACAGAGTAACTCGCGCCACACTATCCGAGGCCGAGGTCCACCGCCATGTCATTTGACCCGACCAGATCTCACTATAATTATCAACAACCAAACCAACAACACAGAATCATCCAATTTGAACCAAACCAACTACTACGACTACCAACAACTACCTCGTTTGCGATATCAGCATCCAGTGGAAGCGAACGTTAACTTGTCATCTACCAACAACTACCTAGTTTGCGATATCAGCATCCAGTGGAAGCGAACGTTAACTTGTCATCTACCAACCAACCAACCAAAGGCATAGGGCCTACAGTTGTCACTCCCTTGACAAATCTGGAATGCTCTGAAGTTTGTAATTTTATACAGACCAATGCTTAAAATTGCAGTTTGTGAGAAAATGAGACAAAATGATAAATTAAACAGAGTAGTAGATATATCTTTCCCCTAGTTTCTTCATCAACATGTAGGATGACCTGGTATTAATGATGTCATGTCATGACCTGTCACATCCCTGGGGGCTACAAATCATTACCTAGTTCTAATCAATCAATCAATCTGACTGTACTATTATCTAGATTGCTCCCTACTGATCAGTGAGGTGAGGGATAAGGTCATACCATAGACAATATTACATTAGTTAGGCCTACATAGAAATCTGAAGTCAGAAACTTCTCATATTACAGGCATAGGTTTGCCATTTTAGGAAGTTGTTACATCTATATATATATATTAGAATATTTGTAAATGCACGAAAATCTCATAATCCATTCAAATATGTCTCAAACTTCACTTTCTATTTCTATATATGGCAGTCAGTGTCTCATAAAAAAAATGTTTTGTCATTTTAACTTTCAAACTTATCCACAAATGGATTTCAGAGCTCAAATTTTGACTGTGAGCTGTGAACACTATTACTAATTGACTTAGCTAAAAAATCTCGGTTCTGAGACTAAGGTACGATTGGTCAAACATTTGGTGAATCTGTCCCTTAAAGGATAAGGTGCATGTTATACTGTCTTTTATTAGACAATGAATACAACAAGCCGTACATGTTCATTTAAAAGAACAACTTGTGTTTGTCAACAAGATTTTCCTCTTTAATGTAATGGTATTTATGAGTTTGACACCCCCTACCCCTTTTATATATAAGACAATGTCCATAAATGTCATGACACATACACCAAATATTTTGTTTTAGTTTGACTTCCTTCCTGGATTTAGATATCATTGTTTTTAAATATTTTAAATATATTAAATAGTATGGTATGAGTGAGAACAAATTATTTCTTTCTGGATGGAGTTTTACTTCTTACTTTACTAATTTGTTTTATGAAGATGAAAATGTAATTCATATCGTGAGAAGTGTTTCATCACTAGCTTGAAACTAGCGTTAAAGATGAATTTCCTTATATTGTAGTGTCAAATTAAGCAAGCTATTTGATTAATTGATGTTTCTAATGAATTATCATGTATTCTTAATCATATCATTATAAATCTTATTGGATATTATAATTAAGAGTTTTATCCAATCATATATGTCCATGTATGTACAGTCTGGATAAACAAAAAAGACTTTTTGACCTTTCTTGATTGGTCACTTATTGGAATTCTGCTGGTAATTCTCTTCTAATTTAGCTAATTATAAATCAATTATGGGTATGTGAGACAAACTGGTATTTTTCCAAGTCATTAGAACACCTCTATTTGAATAAAGTGAACCACTGTCCCAACTAGTTATTGATAAAGGTGTGTGGTTTTAATAATGATGCTTAAGTCCCAATCCTAGCAATGACAATTTGACACAATAAAAGAAGTTATTTTTAATCAAGCAGGCTTATAGATTTACCAATAGATATTTAATATAAAGGTATTTATAAACCTGTAGACTGTCCTATACCTATAGATATTAAATATATATACCCTAGGTTTCTATAAACTAGAGTCAAGTTATAATTATAGTATTAGTCATAGGTCACATGACAATAACAATCATGTTTATAAATAGATATAAACTAGTTGACAAACTGGGCGAGATACAGTGGGGGCATGTCACATATTGACGTTTTATTTACAGGCTTTTAATAACTATAACAGAACCTGAAACATGTTGTTACTCAGAGTTTCATGCTGTGCAACCTATAGTCCTATCAACTTGTATTTCTACTGAATTTTGACTAGTAATTAATCTATATATATATATATTAACCAAGCATTGTGCAAATACTTTAAATTAAATAGAATTTGAATGAATAAACTGATAGACTATATTTAACACCTGAATAACTACACTACATACAGTGTAATACTACAAAATACTTATAGATTTATCAAACTTTAAAATCTGAATGAATACTTGCAAATTATGTTAATATATAAAAGCCACTTTTACTTCAAAAATAAAGTAGGACATAGAAAGGCATTTTTAACAAGTACAACTTATGTTCTCAAGGATCCTGTCTACCAGCTGTTATTTAAATATTGTTTCACTGAGTCACCATCTTAAACTAAGTCCAAATACTTAAATTCATTTTGTGCAATCTAATTTGTTGAGATTTAAATTTTTCTCACAAAACTCTTTTGCCTATCATGGATGAATTCCTTAGGTTTCAGATCCTTCTACCTCAGATCATAAAATACTATCGATTTGTTTTGAAACGAATCGGAAATCTATAAATTATAATTTGTGTGTATGACTGTTGTTAGTAAATAATATATGACAATAGACTATTATAGTCTTCACTGACTATTATAATGGAGACAATAAACAGAGGTCTTGTGTACTACAGACTGTGCACGTAAAACATTTCTTAACAGTTGGAAATCGAAGACAAGACTAATAAGCCCTTGACTAGCCCAGAAAATTTCTTCATTGGGTTGAGTCTAATAACACTGGATGCTGTCCATGATGCATTATCCATTTCAGATGTGGATCCAGACTCAAACTAAACCTTAAATATCAGTTTCAGATCTCTTGACCGTTGGAAATTGAAAAAAGAGTAAGCTATTTAACAACAATTTTCATCATTATTCATTTCAGATGTTGCTGTTATGATTAGCCCAAACTCTTTTTCAATTTCATTTTCATTTTCTTACAATCATTGAACGAAAATTGAACCTATACCTGTGATCCCTTGACAGTTGGAAATCAAAGGACAGTGGGCTAATACAGCTATTCATTACACTAATACATGGTGTTGCTGTTTTAGATTCCTCATACTCCCCAAAACTCCATTTTATTGTAATTCGCTCCTTTAAAGTCACTAGATTCACATCATCAAGCCTATCACTGTCATTATCTATAGCTTATTCACTATATAGCCTACACATTATGTTAATTAAGCCAGCCTACTGAATATATTTACTATCAAAGATAAACTTAAAAACATCTGCTTTTGGAAAGAGAATGGACCAGGGAATGGTTGAAATTGTTTCAAAAACGTAAATAAAGGTCATTGCGAAACGGGGTCAAATTTTCGTCCGTCAACAAAGAACTGTCAAAAACAGCTGAGCTGTCAAATTCGTAAAAATGTAAACAAACCGTTTTAAACGTCAAAAAATGCGTTCTGTTGACACAAAATCTGCTGTGATGAACCCACAATCAAAGTTAAACATGAAAATAAGAAATAAGTTAGTAAAATGTAAGAAAACGACCTACTATTTGGTGTTAAACTGACAACTCGAGATATTTTTAGTTCTTATACCAGCAAACTGTATGATACAAAACATCAACACAACAGTCGAGATTATACCAGTCTCTATCTCTATTGTAAACATCTATAGTGTAGATTGAGACTGGATAATCTAGTAGGTATTATGTTCAGATAACAAGAAGAGACAACTCTGTCAGTAAAATTATAAATAACATTCAGGGAACACAGTATCATAACTAAGATGACCTTGCAAGATTAAACACATAGCCTAGGACTTTAAAATTAACTTGAATATTGAAAAAGAGGTTTTGGCAGATCTTATTGGAATATGCCTGCTTTCCATAATTAATAGATATATCTTAGATCAATGAATGAATGGACCATGAATATTAAAAGTTTTATGAGGGAAGATATATGAGATGATATATACCAGTGGGCTCAATAAAATAAATTACTGAAATACTAAAAATCAAGATGCTTCTCTGTAGGATGAGCTAGTTTAGCAGATAAGAAATGAAGTTTAACGTCAACAATTCTGTTCCTAATGGGCTAATGAAGACAGTGTACAATGAGGGAAATTTTGCCAGGACAGTTGACTGCACTTTTTTTGTTTCAAATTGATTCCTCACATATAGCTAGACAAATCTGTCCAAACCCATTCCTTCAGTAGTGATATGGAAAGGTTAGGGGCAAGGCCAGATTTGAAGAGCTACCTCATAATAAGTAAACCTGTACAGTGGTATTTCTAGGGGAGGCCTAGAAAGGTGGTTCAGATGGCATTGCCCCTCATTCAGTTTTAATCTTTTTATCATTGTGCCTCATGCTGTGACCTCCTTGGCATTTCATTGACCCCCCTGCCCCCCTATCAACTCCTTCAGCAGATGGAAAGCCACTATTTAATTATAGCTGCACAGAGATATGGATTTTTTAATCAGGTTCAGACACATGCCCTTGGGGCCCTAGGGGTAGGGCTATATTACAGAGATCTGGGATAATCTATTTTAAGCCAGTTATAAAACAAGGAGATGAAACAAATAAATGCATTTTAATCAACATATTAATTACAGCTAATATTGTTTACATAAAAACCTCATAAATACAATTAATTATACACGATAACCGAGCCATTACACAGGTCAAATTCCAAACATTAAACATGACAATTTCAGTTTTTAAAAGGTAGGTTATACAGTAGTTGAAACTCTTTTAAAGTGAGAATTGTATTGTGCTCAATGGAATACTATCTCTTACAACCACCCTAATCTCTTAGAATGATCATCCAATTAAAATCCCCGAAGTTGACCAATAAGAGTCTTTTTTTGTTTATCTTTGGACCTATCTAGTGCCATTACTATACACCAGAATCCATCACCAACCAATATAAACTAAGTATTATTCTACATACTACATACTAATAGAAATTATGTTGTGTTAAGGATTATCAGATTATACAAGTATTCTGTTGTATAGTAATGACACCAGGTAAGTCCACTGATGAATACACTCTTATTGGCTAAGTTTGAGAAGTTTAATTTTACGTCCATTCTCAGAGGAAGTATCTCTTTAACATTACCAAATAAGTACCCCAAAATTAAATACTACCACCCCGTTATGTTTAGAATTGAACTAAAATGCACACATGTATGTTTGCTTTACCCACCAGTAACTGGCAAACTTATATTTACATCTTGGATTTCTTTCTTTTTATCTGATTGGTCAAGCACTATTTTTGACAAAACTCAAAAAATAATTTCACATTTTGTCACTTTGTTATTGTGTAATGTAGGTTTCGGACAATTCATATACAATAATCATTCCATCACATTAAAATCTTAACCTTACCAGAATATACATTATATATAACAACAAAATTTATTTAAAAAGTTTATAAACAGTGGTTATGTCCCTTCCTGTATTCTTGGATGATAGGATTAATCTCTTGGAGATGCCTGATATTTCCCCCCCACATTAACTCAGGCCTTGAAGAAAACACTACTTTATTTTTCTGGTAAAACTTACAATTTTGTGACTTAGTAACAAGTTTATCTACATTACAACAAAATAATCTCTAGGTTTAAAATGCATATGTTTCAGAATGCATTCCTGGAATTAACTAGAGAGGGGTGGGGAGAATGTCACACAATTAAAATTGTTTTCAATGCACTTTTAACTTAATCTCTCATTTCTCATTTATAAATGCAATTTTGTAAAAAAAAAAATTATGTTAGTGGGAACATTAGTCCTATGACAGAATTCAAATGCGACTTGGCAGTAAAAATTACCCAGACAATCTGAATTAATATATTGTTTGGGATCTGCTAGTTAAATTAATTTTGATATTCTATCATAAATAACGATATTCTTCATAGTATTATTAAAGCAATAATTACAGAGTGAATTCCTTTTTAAACTTCAATTTACCCAAGACAATTAATTAATTGTATGGAAGCTGCTGATAAAATTAACTAAATTTCCACAGATACTGAGGTAATGATTTTCTAGAGTGAATTCCATCACAAACTTTTTCCAAATTACTCTCAGTAATAATCACAACAATTTTTGGGACTTAATGAAATTTACAATGGAATTTGTATCAGTAGTGTAAAATAGATGAACTTTAGTAAACGGACAGTTTCACCATTTTCTGGTCATTGATTTGGGTTTTGAATATATGTAAATAGTCTTCAGAAGTAATACAGATGTAAAGGAAATCACATAATGCCTTCAAAATTATCTCAAACGAGGATTTCTTTTCCTATATAGAAGTCTTTTTCGATATATGGCAGTTTCAAGAAATGTCAAGTTGTCTTTTTAACTTTAAAACAGGGATAATTCTGGACACACGTGGATTTCAAGGCTCAAAGTTCGCGTCGAGATGTGAATACTATTACGGATTAGCTTTTCTCAAAAGTTCTTGTTTCTAAGACAAAGGTATGTCTGGTCAAACGGACGGTGAAGCTGTCCCTTTAATCAAATAAAACTATTCCCATTCTGTAGTACCAGGAGGCTTGGCTGTCAAATCATATAGGACACGAGAAATGCCTGGAATTGTTTCAATCTCTTTTACCATTCTATTCACGACCTCCTTGGGGAGCTGTTTATCAGGGGTGGCAGGTATTCCTGTCATAAAATCATGTGTGATAAATGTGCGAATAACAATCGAACGTTGACAAGAGGGGGAGTGAGACAATGGTGGACGATCGAAATGAACTGGTATAATCACTATAGGCATTTGGCTGATGTTTGACATATATTTGGCGTCATGTAATGTCTTAGTTGCCAGGTAATCTGCCTGACGCAGGGTACTGAGAACGCCCTCTGTGAGACAAGTCGGCGTAATACAATGTACAGGATGTTTTACACTCTCTCCAAATGCATACACAATACGGTTTATTCCGTGACAAATTTTAGGGATTAATTTCGCAATAATGATTAGATCTGGCCATACTGGGTCCTGATCTGATGACAAAGCAGCAACGTAGCTGTACGTTCGTCTGTCTCCCTGAACACCAACTGTCTTAATAGGTAATAACGTGGCACATATCGAATTAGTAGCAGTAATTTTGGCCAGAACGTCTTGCTCAGACTGGGATATACACCTATTTATTAAGTCCAGCCAGGCCTGGGACGATTTCGAAACACTAGCATAGTCCACAATAACTTTTAGGAGTAGATTGGTTTCAGTGAAATCTTTCCCTATGTATGGTTCATCAGCACACAGAATTCTTATAGCCAGTCCTGGACCTGGGAAGGGATGTCTCTGAACTAATGTAGACGGTAATCCCAAATCGTGACCAATGGCTCGGACCTCATCTTTATGAAAATCTTTGAGCGGTTCGACAACTCTGCCTTGTTTCCTTAACTCTCGTACGATATCCGTATCATTATGATGGGTTTTGATAGCATCAGCTTTACAACTGACGAGACTCGAGGCACTTTCTATCAGGTCGGGACGTAACGTTCCTTGACCTAGGAATACATCCTCTGGTTTTAAATTCATTTCCAGAATCACATCGTTTGCAACAGTCATGAAAGTGTCACCAATAATTTTCCGCTTTTCCTCTGGGTCAAAGGTCGTATTCAAGGTACTAGTCCTACGTTTAATAGCGTTATTTTGTTTGTCAACTGGGATGGTAGTAGTAGCAGTGTAAAAAGTATGAGCAGCACGTACTACTTTCACTTTCAGTCCGATACTCGACAACGACTCTTCGACCTGGCGGCTTTCGTTCTTCCTCATGAAACCATTATCTATATGAACAGCAATAACTTGGTCTTTCTTTAAAGCTTTATGTAGCAGGGCAGCGCAGACCGTGGAGTCTACGCCTCCGCTGAGCAGCATCAAAACTTTATGATCTCCGACAACTTTAACAATGTAATCGACACACGCCTCCTCCCGCGATTTCATAGTGTAGTAACCATGACAACCTGCTATATCGAATAAGAAATGCGAAATCATTTTAATACCGTTCTCAGAGAGATCAACCTCCGGGTGAAACTGAACTCCATAGAGTTTCATTTTTTCGTTGGCTATACCAGCAGTTAGATTTCCTGATTCTGCCACGACTTCGAAACCGTTCGCTAGCTTGTCAATACTGTCACCATGTGTCAGAAGAACAGTCTGTGTTTTATCAAGTCCTCGAAATAACTGACATTTCGGATCAACTGTAATATCAAACTGACCATCTTCTCGAACATCCTTCTTGGCGATTGTTCCCCCAAATCGTTTATTCAGCATGTGATACCCGAAACAGATCCCCAGGACTGGGATTCCCTGAGTAAATATCTCAGGGTCATACCGAGGGGCATCTTCATCATTCACTGATGTTGGACCTCCAGAAATTATGATGGCCTTGTAACCACTATCCTTAATCTCAAAAGCTGGGGTATCCAAGGGTAAAATCTCCGATTCGACTTTGAGCTCTCTGACTCGTCGGTCAATAACTTTGCCATACTGAGCACCTGCGTCGAGAATACACACTTTTTCCGTTCTCTTCGAGATTTCGTTACCGTTAGCTTGTGTTTTTCCGGACCCATTCATGTCTGCATATCAAGGGAACGGGGATTTTTGAGGTAAAAAGGATAAAAACACGTGTGTTGTAGCGGTAAATTTTCATCAATAGGAAATCTAATTAAAGTACTTCCGGTTTTATTTTGTGTGGACTTCGTGCGCCGGAAGTTATTTCTGGCATATTTTGTTTTATCTGTTCTGCAAATTCTTCTAAAATACCTAAACATCTCCACTTCCGCTTTTCCTCAAATTCATTGATGGAATTCGGGAAACCAAGTACATAAAAATATATTGAAAATAACAATAGGAGTAATTTTATGACAAAATTTCAATAATTAAGACACGATTGTCAAGCAATATAAAAAACCTTAGCAGAGAACCATTTGTTGGATAATCGAGACTAAGAATATAAAAGTAACACTATGTATTAGTATGTAGCTAATAATAACACACCAATATGACTGATAAACATAGTTTTAGAATATTTACACCTTATAAGGTATAAGTGACAACAACCCAGGGTATAATAAGAGCAAATGGTTTTCCAGTTTAACATACACAGTTATATTGTTACTTGATGTCAGATTGGTGGTAGAATTGGTTCACTAACTATAAAGTGTAGCCTATTAAAGTTGAAGTAAGTAATAAACTTAAAGTAGCTATTAAAATTTCTAACTAAAATTAGAGCAACATACAGCCATACAGTTTGGTGTTTAGAAATAGTTGTAGAATTGGTTTACTCAACTTAAAGTGTAAAGTTGCATTAAGTACACTGGTGGAGCCAGGTTTATGTTTGAGGGGGGTGGGAGGGTCAACAAAATATCTGAGATTGCCCAATTTCTAACAAGTTGTGAGATTTTTGTCCCAAAAATTTGCTTTTGGATCTGCAAGGGTGGGGGGGGGCTGCTCCTTCTGACCCCCTTTGGCTTTGCCACGGTGCAAGTAGCTATTAAAATTCCAGACAAGAAATAAGAGATTAGGGGATTTTGGTTGTAACATTGCGGTTAAGTAATGTTGCGAAAACACAGGCACAGGTATGTAGTCATAACCACCAGTGAAGAGAGAATCCTTTGCATTTGGTTTTAATAATAATATAGAATATTTGAAATGAAAATCGAGAATCTCTCTAATCTGAAATATAGAAGAAGAATACTGGTTCCAACAGGAACATTAATAACCATGGAAATCATAATAAACATTTTTTACTGGTGAAACTGAGGAATTTTGATATGGTAAATGAAAAGGAAAATCATTAGATACATAGTCAAAAACATGATTTATTCAATGAAAATATAATACATGTATAAGATATTTTAGGGGGATAATGGCAAGGAATATTATTCAATGGTAAGTTATAACAACAATAAGCAATAATAATGAGTAAACACAAGACAATATTATGGAATATAACACACTTCTATGCCCAACCTTATTAAAGAAGTGTGTTATATTCCATAATATGTCTTGTGTTTTTGTTATATGTGCTCCTCGCTTCTATATGTCGTTCTAATCGTACAATAATAATGAGAACAATGAAGGTGGTTGAATAGTAACATTTTGTTAGTTTAGTAATCAGGTAGTTGAAGAATTGGTTCACTAACCAGTTTTAAAGAAGGGTAAAGTTTTTAGGTGATGACTGTATGTGAAATGTGAAATATTTCGTTTCAAAAATCAAATGTTACCTATTCAAGTTGAGTTACAAAAATTCAGAAAAATTTCCCTCATTGTATACTATTGTCTTAGTAAATCAAAAAGTTTTTTGAATTTTTTTTAAGAGAATTGGAGTATCAGTATTGTTAGTCTTAGAATGTCTTTGTGTTGATAAAGTTTTTGTAAGTTTACATTGAAAAGAGACACATTTCCCTTCTAGAAATTTCAACCCAAAAAAGTCAAAAGTTTTGGCTGAAAATTGTCCTCTGTAAAAACAAATCTTGAAGACATGATGTGTGCTTAATTCTTATATTTTTATCAACACAAACACATTCTAAGACTAACAGTACTATTTTGTGGTTGCTTTTCCAATTCTCTAAAAAATAATGGGAAAAAAATTCAAAAAGCTTTTTACTTTGCTCAAACAATAGATTTGTATTTTAACAAACTATTACTCCAATATATTATTATTCTAGTGAACCAATGAACAACCGTAGAATTAGTTACAACTACATTCATTCTAATGCTGGCACAATATATCGGTGAATTGATGGCATCACAGTTATAAAGTTATAAATTAATATATATAGAAACTTTTTATAAGACAGTGGACATTAACCACTTCTATCAACTATATTACCAAATATCACAGTTATAAAGTTATAAATTAATATATATAGAAACTTTTTATAAGACAGTGGACGCTAACCACTTCTATCAACTATATTACCAAATATCACAGTTATAAAGTTATAAATTAATATATATAGAAACTTTTTATAAGACAGTGGACGCTAACTACTTCTATCAACTATATTACCAAATATCACAGTTATAAAGTTATAAATTAATATATATAGAAACTTTTTATAAGACAGTGGACATTAACCACTTCTATCAACTATATTACCAAATATCACAGTTATAAAGTTATAAATTAATATATATAGAAACTTTTTATAAGACAGTGGACGCTAACCACTTCTATCAACTATATTACCAAATATCACAGTTATAAAGTTATAAATTAATATATATAGAAACTATTTATAAGACAGTGGACGCTAACTACTTCTATCAACTATATTACCAAATATCACAGTTATAAAATTATAAATTAATATATATAAAAACTTAGATGATAAAATGTTAATTTTTATCCCATTACCCCATATCGCAATATGTATCGTATCGTGACATGATTGACGATACCCAAAATGAATTGACTGATTAATCAAACTGTTTTTATTACCAAACCTAAAACCAGTAAATGTTGGAATAATTATAAAAGTGACTGAGATAATTTTTGTCTGTTTTTCTGGCGGAGAAACCCGTTTAATTATCCCCTAGGGAGTGTTTAGTTACAACAGAACCTTCTATATGTATATTTGATGATGTAACACGTGTTCTTGTGAGGTTTACAATTAACCTCTATTGTCTAGTGTAGTAATCTATAGAAACATTTCTGGCTGGTTGGCCTGATGAGGTATGCGTGTCCGAAACATATGTCACCAGCATGAGATGAGCTTAAGTCATTTAGATTACACATATGAAATATATCATTATATTATAAAAGAGATTCCAATTATTTCTCTTGCACCTTCATTTATTAAGCTTTTACCATAATAGTAATGAGAGTCATATGTTATACTATGCTATCCTATGTTTTCCTATGCTATTCTATCCTATGTTTCTCTATGCTATGCTATGCTATGCTATCCTATGCTATCCTATCATCATATCATATCCTATATCCTATAATATATCACATCTTCTACCCTGTCCTGTTCCTGTCCTGTCCTATCTTATCACATCATGCATCCTATCCTATCCTATCCTATCCTATCCTATCCTATCCTATCCTATCCTATCCTATCCTATCCTATCCTATCCTATCCTATCCTATCCTATCCTATCCTGTGATAATCATATATGATAACCAATAGGGCTGCAACAATTCATTTATTAGTTAATTAATAATAACTATTGACACAGAATCTTCGTGTATATCAGAAATTGTGTCAAGATTATATTTTTTTAAGTATAATTTTTTCACATCAAAATTTGTAATAATACTTTCTGACTTCAAAAACTGAGAATTTTCTTTCACAATTTCTTGTTGTTAAAATTTTAAAAAATTTCTTCCATGAATCCTCCTTCCTTATAAATATAAATCATATCATTGAATGAGTATCGTCTAGTGTATCAAATAATAATATCAAGAATCGTTGCAGCCCTAATTGCCAAACTGTTATTTTGGATTTCGGGTATTATTTTGTGGTTTGGATTGTTAGTACGTTGGTTTTCAATGTGGCAATGTGGCAGTCCAGATCTGTAGATATGAGAGAATAGTATAATCAATATCTGCTAGTGTAATATAGAGAACCAATAGAAACTTCTACTGTCAGTTGACATCCCATCATACCAGCTCTAGTTGTAGTTTGTAGTTCCTAGTGGATAGTAGAGGTACGTCACTGTTTTCTTTCAGTTTACCCATTCTAATTCAGCAAGCCATGATCCTTTAATATTCTAGAATATTCTTGTTATTGGCTTCTCTCTCCTGTTCAGTGAGGTTGTTGACACCCCTTCCGCAGTTTTAGTTCCTAGTGGATATTAGAGGTAGTTCACTGTTTCCTCACTTTCAGGTTATCAATTCCATTTTACCATTTATTTAATATACTGTAAGCAAAACATGGATCCTTTCATAGGCGAGAATATTCTTCTTATTAACTTCTCAGTTCTGTGTCGTTAACTAACAAAGTCACATTCCCATCTCTAATTTTTATTTTCATGTCCATGGTAGATGTTGGTTACTGTCTTTATTTTCATGTATGCACCAATTATATGTTTTAGTAAGTCTTGGATCCTTTCATAGCGTAGAATATTCTCATTATAGACTTCACACTTCTGTTCAGTGAGGTTGCTGACATCCCCATGCTCTAGTTGCTAGTTTCTAGTCTAGTTTACCTTCCCTCATTTTCATTTTAGAAATTTCGGCACGTATTTCGAAAGGTGATTATCCCTGGTCATCTGTTTAATCATTGATTAAATTTCATTTGGTATTTTCGAACGCTTAATGGCTAAATTATGACTGAGTTTAGCGTTCATTTGATATTATTTTAGCAAGTCATTGATCATTATAGGCTAGAATATTCTTGTAAGTGAGTTTCCTAGTTTGTTGGTACATTCAATTTCAAATTCTGTCAGCTGTCCTGGTGATGGATATTATGAAAATTTGTGTTGACATAATGATAATAAAAATTCTATTATAAAAATGTTAAAGATATGACTATTAAGATCTGCACTATAGACTACCATCAAGTCCAAACCATGAGAACCAATAGGCCTGAGGTTGTATTTTGTTGAAGATTTTTTTTATTCATCCTTTGATTTGGCAGTTCTATTAAGATTCAAGACACACTGTTGTGATCTGAATGG